TCCATGGTTGCCCCTCCGCTATGGGTGCTCCCCCACCAATGGGTGCCCCTTCACCCTATGGGTGCCCCCCCTCCCTATGGCTCCCCCGCACCCTATGGCTCCCCCCCCACCCATGTGTGTCCCCCTACCCTATGGCTCCCCTCACCTATGGGTGCCCCCCTCCATGGGTACCCCCCTACCTTATGGGTGCCCCCCCTCCCATGTTTGCCCCCCCACCATGGGTGCTTCCCCACCAATGGGTGCCCCTTCACCCTATGTCCCCCCCCACCCTATGGCTCCCCCCCATCCTATGGCTCCCCCCCCGCCATGGCTGCCCACCACCCATGGTTGCCCCCCCGCCATGGGTGCTCCCCCACCAATGGCTGCCCCCCCACCCTATGGATGCCCCCCACCCTATGGCTCCCCCCCCGCCATGGGTGCTCCCCCACCAATGGCTCCCCCCCTATGGTTGACCCCCCCATGGGTGCTTCCCCCCCAATGGGTGCCCCCCCACCCTATGTCTCTCCCCCCCCCACGTCCCCCCCACCTATGGGTGCCCCCCACCAATGGGTGTCCCCCCACCCTATGGCTCCCCCCCCGCCATGGGTGCCGCCGCACCCTATGGCTCACCCCCACCCTATGGCTCCCCCCCACCTATGGGTGCCCCCCTCCATGGGTACCCCCCTACCTTATGGGTGCCCCCCCTCTGTGGTTGCCCCCCCACCAATGGGTGGCCCCCCCCATGTCTCTCCCCCACCCTATGGGTGCCCCCCCTACCCTATGTCTCCCCCGCAGAGGACATCGAGGTGCGGTTCTGGGCCGAGGGCTGGGAGGCGCGGGGCTCCTTCGCGCAGGCCGATGTCCACCGCCAGGTCGCCATCGTGTTCCGGACCCCGGCCTTCCGGGACCCCGGCCTCCGCCAGCCCCACAGCGTGCACATGGAGCTGCAGCGCCCCTCGGACCGGCAGCGCAGCGCGGCCATGGAGTTCCGCTACCTGCCCCATCAGGGTGGGAGCATGGGGGGGGAATGGGGCCATGGAGTTCCGCTACCTGCCCCATCAGGGTGGGAGCATGGGGGGCAATGGGGCCATGGAGTTCCGCTACCTGCCCCATCAGGGTGGGAGCACTGGGGGGAATGGGGCCATGGAGTTCCGTTACCTGCCCCATCAGGGTGGGAGCATGGGGGGGAATGGGGAGCAGAGATAGGGAATAGGGGAATAGGGATATGGGATAGGGATATAGAATATGGGTATGGGATATAGGATATGGATATGGGATAGGGACATGGATATAGATATGGATATAGGGTAGGGATATAGGACATGGATATGGGATATAGGATATGGGTATGGGATAGGGACATGGATATGGATATGGGATAGGGATATAGGATATGGATATGGGATATAGGATATGGGTATGGGATAGGGATATGGATATGGGTATCGGATAGGGACATGGATATGGGATAGAGATATGGATATGGGATAGGGATATAGAATATGGGTATGGGATAAGGATAGGGATATGGGTATGAGATAGGAATATAGGATATGGGTATAGGATAGGGATAGGGGTATGGTATAGGGATATAGGATATGGGTAAGGATAGGGATATGGATATGGGATAGGGATATAGAATATGGGATAGAGATACGGATATGAGATAAGGGTAGGGATATGGATATGGGATAGGGATATGGGATAAGGATAAGGATAGAGATATGGGTATGGGAGAGGAATATAGGATATGGATATAGGATAAGGATAGGGATATGAATATGGGATAGGGATATGGGATATGGGGATATGGAACATTGGGATATGGGGATGGGGGACATGGGGATATGAGAATATCGGACATGGGGATATAGGGATAAGGGACATGTCAATATCGGGTATGGAGATAGGGTATATGGGATATGGATACAGGGATAGGGGGACTCGTGGCCCATTGCATCTTGGGTGCTCCTGGGTCCCCTTGGGATCATTCCTGGGTCCCTTGGGGTCTCCTTTGTCTCACTGGGGTGATCTGGAGAGTCACTGGGGGTCACTGGTGTCACTGGTCTCTCACTGGTGTCACTGGTCTCTTATTGGTGTCACTGGTCTCTCCCTGGTTTCTAACTGGTATTACTTGTCTCTCACTGGTGTTACTGGTCTCTCACTGGTGTCACTGGTCTCTCCCTCCTGTCACTGGTCTCTAACTGGTCTTTCACTGGTGTCACTGGTCTCTCACTGGTGTTGCTGGTCTCTCACTGGTCTCTCACTGGTGTTACTGGTCTCTCACTGGTGTCTCACTGGTGTCACTGGTCTCTTACTGATCTCTCACTGGTGTTACTGGTCTCTTACTGGTCTCTCACTGGTATTACTGGTCTATCACTGGTCTCTCAGTGGTCTCTAACTGGTCTCTCACTGGTCTCTTACTGGTCTCTTACTGATCTCTCACTGGTCTCTAGCTTGTCTCTAACTGGTTTTACTGGTCTCTAACTGGTCTCTCTGGTCTCTGCCGCCAGGGGACCTGCAGTGCATCGAGGAGAAGCGCAAGCGCACCCGGGACACTTTCCGCTCCTTCGTGCAGCGCAGCCCAATGCCCGGTGGGGGGCACGGGGGGGCAATGGGGGGTACTGGGGCCATGGGGGGGGTACTGGGGCCATAGGGGGGGTATTTGGGGTCCCGGGGGGGGTATTTGGGGTCCCGGGGGGGGTATTTGGGGTCCCTGGGGGGGGTATTGTTGCTCATGGGGGGCTATTGGGGGTCCCCAGGGGGGGTTATTGGGGCCCTAGGGGGGGTATTTGAGTGCCTGGGGGGGCGTATTCAGCTTCCAGGGGTGATGATTGAGGCTCTAGGGGGGGTATTTGGGGTCCCTGAGGGGGTATTTGGGTTCCATGGGGGGTATTTGGGATCCCTGAGGGGGTATTGGGGTCCTGGGGGGGGTTATTGTTGCCCATGGGGGGCTATTGGGGTCCCCAGGGGAGGTTATTGGGGCCCAAGGGGGGGTATTCGGGTTCCAGGGGGGGGGGTATTGTTGCCCTAGGGGGGTATTGGGGGTCCCCAGGGGGGGTTATTGCAGCCCTAGGGGGGGTATTGGGGTCCGGGGGGGGGGTTATTGTTGCCCATGGGGGATATTGGGGGTCCCCAAGGGGGGTCCCTGACGTTCCCTCCCTTTTTCCTCTTCCCCCCCCCCCCAGGTCTCGCCCCCCCTGAGCCCCGCCCCCCCCGGCGCTTCGCGGTGCCCTCGCGGCCCTGCCCGGCCCCGCAGCCCCCCCCCTCCATGGGTGAGAAACTGTGGGGGGTCAGGGGGGTACTGGGGGGTACTGGGAGCTATTGGGCGCTGTTGGGTGTTACTGGGGAGCACTGGGAGTGACTGGGAGCTACTGGGAGCTACTGGGGGGCTCCAGTTGGGGGCTACTGGGAGTGACTGGGAGGTATTGGGGGCTATTGGGTACTAGTGGGAGGCTAATGGGGGCTACTGGGAGCTATTGGGGGCTACTGGGGAGCTACTGGGAGTGACTGGGAGCTATTGGGGGCTATTGGGTGCTACTTGGGGACACTGGGAGTGACTGCTGGCTACTGGGAGCTATTGGGGGCCTCCTGGGAGTGAATGGGGGCTACTGGGAGCTATTGCGGGGCTACTGGAGAGCTAATGGGAGTGACTGGGAGCTATTGGGGGCTATTGGGTGCTACTGGGAGCTATTGGGGGGACACTGGGAGTGATTGGGTGCTACTGGGAGCTATTGGGGGGCTACTGGGAGTGAATGGGGGTTACTGGGAGCTATTGGGGGGCTATTGGGAGCTATTGAGGTCTATTGGGTGCTACTGGGGGGCACTGAGATCTCTGTGCCTGCTCTGCCCCCCCCCTCACTCCTCCTCTCCACAGCTCCCCCCCCGTGTTTCGGGGTCCCGGGGGGGGTTTTGGGGGACGCTGCTCCCCCCGCCCCCCCCGCAGCCGAGCCCTTGGCCGAGGCCCTGCTGCAGCTGCAGGTGGCTGAGGAAGGGCCCATTCCCGACGCGGGGGGGTCCCCATTGGACCTGGGGGTGCTCTTGGGGGACCCCCATTTCCCCCCCTTGGAGACCATCAACGCTGCCGAGGTGCAACGGCTGCTGGGCCCCCCCGACCCCCCCACTCCGCTCTTTGGGGACCCCCCTTTGCCTCTGGGGGGGGGACGGGGGGATGGAGGAGGGGGGGGGGTAACTGCTCCTCCCCCACCCCCCAACCCCCCCATGCTGATGTCGTACCCGGAAGCCATCGCTCGCCTCGTGCAGGGGGGGGATGGGGTTGGGGGGGGTGGGGGGGTCGAGGATGTAGGGGGGGGGTGCCCTGATTTGGGGGGGGGAGTGGGGGGGGACCCCGAGGATTCGTTGCCCTCCCTTGGGGACTTGGACTTCAGTGCCTTGCTCAGCCATTTCCCCTCCTCCTAACTGGGAGGAACTGGGAGCTACTGGGAGGCTTTAAAGTGGGGAGGGGGGGTGGAACTAGGGGCCTATGGGGAGGCTTTTAGGGGGCCCTGAGGTTACTGGAGGGCAACAGGGATTGACTGGGGGGGGTATTGGGAAAGAGGGGGGTCAGTGGGAGGGGTCTGGATGGGACTGAGCAATCCCAGCATAGAACTGGGAGTCACTGGAAAGCAACCAAGTGCCTATAGGGGGGTGTCTGGGGGCTACTGGGGACCATGGGACTGCAACTGGGGGTCACTGGGAGTCCTCAGGGCCCCCCCGTCACCAGCATTAACCCTGTCCCCCCAAACCAAAGTGCCTTATTTGGGGGGGAGGGGAAGGATTTAAACCCCCTCCCTTTATATCCCCCCCCCATAAATCACCCCAATAAATGGTATGACTGAGCTTTGATTTGGGGGCGTGGCTTCAAGGGGGCGTGGTCTGCGTTGGTGCGGTTAGCGGGCCGTGCGCAAAGCGCAGCCCTGAGGGAGGCGGAGCTATAACCGGAAAAGGCGGGGATTGTTTCCCGCCCCTCCCGGAAGGGGCGGGGTTTGTTGGCGGCAGGGCCTCGGAGCCGGAGCGGAGCAAGGGAGAGGCCCAGCCGGTGCCGGGGCCCGAAGCGGGACCCAGCGGCACCGGAACCGGAACCGGGGCGATGCCGAGCAAGAAGAAGAAATACAACGCGCGGTTCCCGCCGGTCAGCGGGGAGAGGCGGGGCCTGAGGCGGAAGTGGCGGCGGGGCTGGGGGAGGGGGGGGAGAGCATCACCATGGCAACAGGGAGGGATGTGCGTGCGGGCGTGGCCTGAGACGGGGGTGTGGTCTTGGGAGGGGGCGTGGTTTGTGCAGGGGGCGGTGCCTATAGGCCCAGGTGAGGGCGTGTGGGGTTCGTGACCATGGCAACGGGCTTGGGGGCGTGGCTTCTTTAGGGAGCCCCCCCTTGTAAGGTGTTTAAGGGCGTGGCCTCGAGTGGGGACGTGGTTTAAGAGGGGGCGTGGCTTGTGCGTGGTCCCCTCCAGCCCCATATAAAAGAATGCAGGGCGGGTAGTTATGGGAGGGGGCGTGGTTTGTGCAGGGGGTGGTGCCTATGGGGTCAGGTGAGGGCATATGGGGTTCGTGACCATGGCAACGGGCGAGGCATCAGCTTGGGGGCGTGGTTTCTGGAGGGAACCCCCTTTGTAAAGTATTAAGGGGGCGTGGCCTCGATTGGGGGCATGGTTTAAGAGGGGGCGTGGCTTGTGCATGGTCCCCTTCAGCCCCATATAAAAGGATGGAGGGCAGGTGGTTACGGGAAGTGGCGTGGTTATGGGAAGGGGCGTGGCTTGTACAGGGGGCGGTGCTTATGGGCCCAGGTGAGGGCATGTGGGGGTTCATGACTATGGCAACGGCTGTGGCATCGGTTTGGGGGCGTGGCTTCTGGAGGGATCCTCCTTTTAAGGTGTTTGGGGGGCATGGTTTAAGAAAGGGCATGGCCCCCTTCAGCCCCATATAAAAGGATGGGGGCGTGGTTATGGGAAGGGGGCGTGGCTTTGGAAAGGGCGGGGCATGTCCATGCCTCAGTTTCCCTCCTGTTCCGCAGGCACGGATCAAGAAGATCATGCAGACGGATGAGGAGATCGGGAAGGTGGCGGCCGCCGTCCCCGTCATCATCTGTATCCTTATGGAGCAGCGGCACCGGAGTCACCCCAGCATGGATATTGGGGTGTCATTGTCCCCCACCCCTCCCACTGCCCACATGGGTGCTCCTGAGGACCCCCAGTGCCATCCCTCCTGAGGTCCCCTCTATCCCACAGGCCTGGGTGGCCCCCAGCCCTTTGAGTCCTTCCCATGTCATCATGTCACTGCCTGTCTATGGGTAGCCCCTGGTCCCATGGGATTGGGGTGCACTTGGGACCTGGTTCCCCATGGGCTAGTGAAGGGGTTGGGGGTCCATGGGGGCTCTCTGGGTGTCCATGGGTGCCCATGGAGGGGTCTGTGGGGATCCCTAGTGCTCCATGAGTGTCCATTATGGTTTATGGGGGTCTGTGGGTGTCTATTGGTACCCATGGGTGTCTTATGGGTGCCCATGAGGAGGTGGCTGTGGGGATCCCTAGGGCTTCATGAGTGTCCATTATGGTTTATGGGGTTCTGTGGGTGTCTATTGGTACCCATGGGTGTCTATTGGTACCCATGGGTGTCTATGGGTGCCCATGGGGAGGTGGCTGTGGGGATCCCTAGTGCTCCATGAGTGTCCATTATGGTTTATGGGGTTCTGTGGGTGTCTATTGGTACCCATGGGTGTCTATTGGTACCCATGGGTGTCTATGGGTGCCCATGGGGAGGTGGCTGTGGGGATCCCTAGGGCTCCATGAGTGTCCATTATGGTTTATGGGGTTCTATGGGTGTCCATTGGTACCCATGGGTGCCAGGGGGTGTCCGTGGGGGTCCTTAGCACCCCAGCCCGTGCCCTGGAGCTCTTCCTGGAGTCGCTGCTGCGGAAGGCCTGCCACGTCACCCAGTCCCGCAATGCCAAGACCATGACCACCTCCCACCTGTGAGCACCCCCCAGCACCCAGGGCCCATTGGGGTCCCTGGACCCCATTTTGGGGGGGGGGGTACCCAGGACCCATTTAGGAAGGGGTCTGCATCGCTCAGTGCCTTGGTTATCTCATTCCCCCATTTAAGCCTTATGGAGGGGCGGGGCTTAATAGTGAGGGGCGTGGTTTATGTTGGGGGCGTGGCCTGCTGACCCCGCCCCCTTTTCCCATAGGAAGCAATGCATCGAGCTGGAGCAGCAGTTCGACTTCCTTAAGGATTTAGTGGCCGCCGTACCGGATATGCAAGGGGAAGGCGAGGAGCCCCATGGCGATGGGGAGAGGGGGCCCCGCAGGTGGGTGATGCCCCCCCCAATATATGGGACCTCCCCTACATCAGAGACCCCCCCCCATACACATGGGACCCCCCCTGACATCCCCATGGGGGGGGGGTCGATGAGAGAGTGGTTCCCCAATGGAATTCCCTATGGGAATGGGGTACAGGGAGGGGATCCCCCAAACCACTGGATCCAATGGGAATGGGGGGGGGGGTCTCCAATACGTGGGTCCTTCCCATAGGGGTGTTATGGGTGATAATGGGGGGTCCCCAATGTCTTGGGGGGGGCTCTTCCAGGGGTCGTCGCCCCGGAGCCGGCCGGAAGAACGGGGGTCCCGGTGGGAAGGGGAAGGATCCCAAACAGTCAGGAACGGACACGGAGCAGGAGGTGGGGGGGGACCCCAATATTCCAAATGGGAGGTTGAGGGGGTCCGGGGGGGGGGGTTGGGGGGGTCTTGAAGGGGTTTGGGGGGGTCTTGAGGAGGTTTGGGGGGGTCCTGGATGGGTTTGGGGGGGTCTTGAGGAGGTTTGGGGGGCCCTGGATGGGTTTAGGGGGTCGGGGGTTTGGGGGGTCCTGGATGGGTTTGGGGGGGTCTTGAGGGGGTTGGGGGGTCCTGGATGGGTTTGGGGGGGCCTTGAGGGGGTTTGGGGTGCCGGGTTTGAGGGGGTTTGGGGTGGTCCTGGATGGGTTTGGGGGGGCCTTGAGGGGGTTTGGGGGGTCCTGGATGGGTTTGGGGGGGTCTTGAGGGAGGTTTGGGGGGCCCTGGATGGGTTTGGGGGGTCTTGAGGGGGTTTGGGGGTCCTGGATGGGTTTGAGGGGGGTTTGGGGTGGTCCTGGATGGGTTTGGGGGGGCCTTGAGGGGGTTTAGGGGGTCCTGGATGGGTTTGGGGGGATGTTGGAGGTGTTTGGGGGAGTCTTGAGGAGGTTTCGGGGGGTCCTGGATGGGTTTGGGGGGGTCTTGAGGGGGGTTGAGTGGTCCTGGGGGGCGGGGTGGGATTTGGGGGTCCCTGTGTCCCCTCATTTCCATCCCCCCCAGGAGGACTCTGAGGACAGTGACAGCGATGGGGAGGAGGAGCCAGCACCGCCCCCCCCCGCACCCGCCCCCCTTAACTTCTCCAGGTACCCCAATACCAGGAACCCCTTTTTGGGGGGGACCCCCCCCCCTCAAACCGGGGGGGAGAGGGGGTGAAGGGTGTTAAACCCTTCCCCCCCCCCCCCCATTTTGGCTCCATTGACCCCTTGTTCCCACAGCCCGGGGGGGCCTTTTGCACCCTTGGGGCCCCCCCCAACATTACCAGGGGGGCTCCCCCCAGCCCCCGGCCCCCCCCGGGCCCGCGAGGAAGAGGAAGAGGAGGAAGATTACGACTCCTGACACCCCCAAACACCCCCCCCTCCCCCACCTTGCACCCCCCTCAAAGCCCTCCCTGGGTGTTGGGGGGGGGGGAGGGGCATTGGGGTGATGCTGGGGGGGGGAGGGGCTCAGTTTGGATCCTGGGATTCTTGGGGTTTATCCTGGAATCCTGAGGCTCCTCCCCCCGTTCTTGGGGTTCCCGGACCCCATTTTAAAGCCGGGGTGGGGGGGGGGTGATTTTGGGGCCCTTTGGTGACATTTAATGAGTCGGGGATGGGGGGAGGTTTGTATCGGCTCAATAAAGTTGCTGTTTCCATACATCCTCCTCCTCCCCCCCCTTGGACCCCCCCCCCAAACCCCATTGGGCCCCCCCAAACCCACCCCCCCCTTCCCTTAAAGTCCTATTGGGGACGCGTGGTGCCTCTCTTGGCCACTAGGGGGCTGCAGCGACACAGAGGAGCCCCATAGGAGACCCCATAGGAGCTATAGGGGCTCATGGGGGGGTTAGGGAGACCTATAGGAACCCATAGAGGAGCTTATAGGCGGGATAAGAGCCCATAAGGGTGGTACAGGGATGTATAGAAGCCCAGAGCAGGTTTATAGGGGCCTATAGGCACCTCTAATAGGGTTATAGGAGCCTATAGGCGCTTCTAATAGGGTTTATAGGAGCCTATAGGCACTTCTAATAGGGTTTATAGGAGCCTATAGGCACTTCTAATAGGGTTTATAGGAGCCTATAGGTACCTCTAATAGTGCTTATAGGAGCCTATAGGCACCTCTGATAGGGTTATAGGAGCCTATAGCCACCTCTAATAGGGTTTATAGGGGCCTATAGGTACCTCTAATAGGGTTTATAGAGGCCTATAGGCACCTCTAATAGGGTTATAGGAGCCTATAGGCACCTTTAATAGGGTTTATGGGGGCCTATAGGCACCTCTAATAGGGTTATAGGAACCTATAGGCACCTCTAATAGGGTTTATAAAGGCTTATAGGTACCTCTAATAGGGCTTATAGGGGCTATAGGAGCTCCTAGTGTTTATAGATACCTATAGGATCTCATAAGAGCATCTTTAGGGGCCTGTAGGAGGCCAGAGGGGGTTTATAGGGCCTATAAGAGCTCATGGGGGTGTTAAAGGAGCCTATAGGAGCCCTTAATTGGGTTTATGGGGGCCTATAGGAGCCATTGGGGGGGGGGGTATTGAGACCTACAGAATCCCATAGAGACCTATAGGGGTCTGTAGGGGCCCGACAGACCCTATAGGCATCTATGGGACACCTCAAGGGCCTCACTGAGGAGTTCCAAATGCTGTATGAGGGCTTTATGGGGCTCTATAGGTCAAGTGCTCTATAGGGGCTCCATAAGGAAGTGCTTTATAGGGGCTCTATGGGTCACTGCAGGGCTCTGTGTCTCTGTATGGGTGCTTTATGGCTCTCTATAGGGCTCTGTAAGGACTCTATGGGTGTTGTATGGGTTGCTGTAGGGCTCTGTGGGTCTCTATAGGGGCTCTGTGGGGCTCTATGGGTTTCTGTTGGTCTCTATAGTGGATCTCTATGGATGGTTTATAGGTCTCTTGAGTGCTCTATGGGTCTCTATAGGGACTGTATGGGTGCTCTATGGGTATTTATAGGTGCTCTATAGGTCTCGATGAGTGCTCTATGGATCACTGTAGGTCTCTATGGGTGCTCTATTGGTCTCTATAGGGGCTCTATGGGTGTCTGTGGGTCTCCATAGGGCTCTATGGGTGTTCTATAGGTCTCTGTAAGTGCTCTGTGGATCCCTATAGATCTCTATGGGTGCTCTATAGGGCTCTATGGGTGCTCTATGGATCCCTATAGATCTCTATGGGTGCTCTATAGGTCTCTGTGAGTGCTCTGTGGATCCCTATAGATCTCTATGTGTGCTCTATAGGGCTCTATGGGTGCTCTATGGATCCCTATAGATCTCTATGGGTGCTCTATAGGTCTCTGTGAGTGCCCTATGGATCCCTATAGATCTCTATGGGTGCTCTATAGGTCTCTGTGAGTGCTTTGTGGATCCCTATAGATCTCTATGGGGCTCTATGGGTGCTGTATGGGGCTCTATGGGGCCGGCGGGCGGGGGGACCCTGCACCGCGCTCCCGCCGCGCTGGAATCCGCCCCTCCCCCCCCCTTCCCCCCCTCCCCCCCCCCGATCCCGGGACTTTTGCCCGAATCCCTCGCTTTTGGCCTCAGCTGCGACGGGACCGGGACTGGGAACGGGAACGGGAACGGGACAGGGACAGGTACTGGGATAGGGAATGGGAGAGGGAGTGGGATAGGGATGGGGACAGGGAATGGGATTGGGATGGGGACAGGTTGGGATAGGGAAAGGGACAGGTTGGGATAGGGATGGGGACAGGTTGGGATAGGGAAAGGGACAGGTTGGGATAGGGATGGGGACAGGGAATGGGATAGGGATGGGATAGGGAAAGGGACAGGGATTGGGATAGGCGAGAGGGATGGGGATAGGGATGGGGACAGGGATGGGGATAGGGATGGGGAAAGGGATGGGGATAGGGATGGGACAGGGATGGGGATAGGGATGGGGACAGAGATGGGGCAGGGATGAGGACAGGGATGGGAGGAAGGGATGGGGTAGGGATGGGGATAGGGATGGGGACAGATGGGGATAGGAATGGGACAGGGATTGGGATAGGGATGGGGACAGGGATTGGGATAGGGAAAGGGACAGGGATTGGGATAGGGATGGGGACAGGGAATGGGATAGGGAAAGGGACAGGGAATGGGTCAGGGATTGGGATAGGGAAAGGGACAGGGATTGGGATAGGGATGGGGAGAGGGAAAAAGATAGGGAAAGGGACAGGGAATGGGAGAGGGGAAGGGACTGGGAATGGGATAGGGAAAGGGACAGGGATTGCGATAGGGATGGGGACAGGGAATGGGATAGGGATGGGGAGAGGTTGGGATAGGGGCAGGGGCAGAGGTTGAAGGCATTGGGGATGGGGGCCATGGGGACAGGTTGGGATAAGGGGATGGATCTGGGATAGGGGAAGTGGTTGGGGACAATGGGGGGGGGTTGGGGACAAGGGGAGGGTGAGGACAGGTTGGGGACAAGGGGAATGGGGTGAGGGCACCGGGGGGGGGGATATGGGGTGAGGGGGGGGATATGGGGGGGGTTGGGGGCAACGGGGGGGGACGACACCGAACTCATCTGACCGGATGCACCCGACCCAGGGAGCCGGGGGGGAGGGGGGGGGGGTGCGTGACGCAAGAGGGTCCCTATAGGGGGTGTCCCATGGGTGCTGCTGTTCCTATGGGTGCCCCTTAGGGGTGATGTCCCCATGGGTGCTGCTGTTTCTATGGGTGCTGCTGTTCCTGTGGGTGCTGGGGTCCCTATGGGTGCAACTTGGGGGTGATGTCCCCATGGGTGCCACTGTACCCCTCTGACACTGTCCCTATGGGTGCCACTGATCCCATGGGTGCCACTGTCCCTATGGGTGACACTGACCCCATGGGTGCCACTGTCCCTATGGGTGCTGCTCTCCCTTTGGGTACCACTGACCCCATGGGTGCCACTGTCCCTATGGTGCCACTGTCCCTATGGTGCCACTTGGGGTTGATGTCCCCATGGGTGCTGCTCTCCTCATGGGTGCTGGTGTCCCTATAGATGCTGCTGTCCCCATGGGTGCCCCTTAGGGTTGATGTCCCCATGGATGCAATTATCCCTATGGGTGCCAGTGTCCCTATGTGTGCCACAGTCCCCATGGGTGCCCCTTAGGGTTGATGATGTCCCCATGGGTGCCATTGTCCCATGGGTGCCACTGTCCCCATGGGTGCTGGTGTCCCTATGGGTGCTACTGTCCCGATGGGTGCCCCTTAGGGTTGACGATGTCCCTATGGGTGCCATTATCCCTATGGGTGCCATTGTTCCATGGCTGTCACTGTCCCTATGGGTGCTGCTCTCCCCATGGGTGCCCCTTAGGGTTGATGTCCCTATGGGTGCCATTATCCCTATGGGTGCCACAATCCCTATGGGTACCCCTTAGGGTTGATGATGTCCCTATGGGTACCATTGCCCCATGGGTACCACTGTCCCTATGGGTGCTACTATCCCCATGGGTGCCCTTTAGGGTTGATGATGTCCCTATGGGTGCCATAATCCCTATGGGTGCCATTGTCCCTATGGGTGCCATTGTCCCATGGCTGCCACTGTCCCTATGAGTTCTACTATCCCCATGGGTGCCCTTTAGGGTTGATGATGTCCCTATGGGTGCCATTGTCCCATGGGTGCCATTGTTCTATGGGTGCCACTGTCCCTATGGGTGCTGCTCTCCCCATGGGTGCCCCTTAGGGTTGATGATGTCTGTATGGGTGCCATAATCCCTATGGGTGCCATTGTCCCATGGCTGCCACTGTCCCCATGGGTGCTACTGTCCCCATGGGTGCCCCTTAGGGTTGATGATGTCCCTATGGGTGCCATTGTCCCATGGGTGCCATTGTCCCTATGGGTGCCATAATCCCTATGGGTGCCATTGTCCCTATGGGTGCCATTGTCCCTATGGGTGCCATAATCCCTATGGGTGCCATTGTCCCTATGGGTGCCATTGTCCCTATGGGTCCTACTATCCCTATGGGTGCCCTTTAGGGTTGATAATGTCCCTATGGGTGCCACTGTCCCCATGGGTGCCCTTTAGGGTTGATGATGTCCCTATGGGTGCCATTGTCCCTATGGGTGCCATTGTCCCTATGGGTGCCATAATCCCTATGGGTGCCACTATCCCTATGGGTGCCATAATCCCTATGGGTGCCACTATCCCTATGGGTGCCTCTGTCCCCTCTCTGACACCCCCCCCCATGCCGGTCCCAGTCCCGGTGCCCCGGCGATGCCGTTCGGGGCGGTGCTGGCGCAGGTCGGGGGCCTGGGCCGGTTCCAGGTGCTGCAGACGGCGCTGTTGGTGGTGCCCATCCTGCTCATGGCCAGCCACAACCTCCTGCAGAACTTCACCGCCGCCGTCCCCCCCCACCGCTGCCGCCTCCCCGGCCCCTTCAACGCCACCAATG